GTCCAATTTAAATTGGACATATGTCCAAAAAAAAAATTGAAACCAATTGGGCATTGTGACATTCCATCCCTGTTCGTCTTTCGCCGGTCTTAGGTTTCGTCTTTCGTCATTTACGTAAAATGGTCTCACCTAATAACTATATGAAGATGCAGATGCAAAAACATCAAAACTAGTTTTTGCATCATTTTGCATAATCTGCGAAATATATTTCATACTATAGATGACATGCGTCTAACCAAAAGCAAACATTTACGCAGATACACTTCACTCTTCATAAAACTATATACGTCACTGCACTTTGTTCTTGGTAACCTCACGGAACATGTGCGTGATGCATATCTCTCGCGGAATATTGTCCATAATATCTAATTCATTTCCCATTGCAGTATGGAACTGATCTCTTGATAACTAGATCAAAATCACGGGATTAGAGTATTGGATTAATATTTATTGAATGGCTTGGTGTTTTCATTATAAGTACCAGCGAATGCAGTAAATGCACTTTATAAAAAGATGCATTCACTTTAATAAAACAATCTTATAAGAAAATGATTATTTTAACGCGCTCTAAATTTGGAGCTATATTTTTAGTTCTCAAAGTATTGTTATTATGTCATTTGACTTCGTCTCAATGGACGAAAAGATTAAAACATAATACCTTTTCTGAATATAAAATTAAATTGAAAGAACCGCGTCTTTGTGATAAAACTGTTCAACAGGTTTATTTATAACTTATTTAGAATAATAAATATTGATTATTATTTAATATTAAATTTTTTGAATATTAGTATTCAGGATATATTGATATTAAAGACACTAAACATTTATTCTTCTGGTTTTTCGAATCGAGAAGTAAACCACAAGAAGATCCGATCGTCCTTTGGGTATGTAAATTACAGTATTCTCATTTGTTAAACCATTTAATCAAAAAATTCAAATCTATTAAAAATAGCTTACCGGTGGCCCAGGGTATGATACTTTTAATGCTTTATTTATAACAGTAAGGGGTTTCATAATTAATGATTCGGCATCCGATTACAAATAAAATAAGTGACGTATTAACTTCAAAATATGTGATACATAAATCCTATTTTTTTTTAACTTATAGAATTATTTACATAATCATTTACCGGTAGATATTTATCAAAAAAAAAGCCAATTTAATCACTGAATCGGAAATTTAAAAATAGATGTAGGATCTTTTAAACTTCCACTTATTTTCAAAATATATTAATTATGAAACCCCTAGTACTGTAGTATAAAGGATATATATTTCTCAAAATTTAATTGTTTTAAGGATCTCATGTGATACTTACATCACCTAATCAAGTTGTTTGATTTGATGTAACGTAAATCACATGTTCTCAAGGGCCGTTTCGGGATGTATTGACGCGTCCTTGTAATTGCGCCGCATCCACGCCATCTTTTAATTATTATGTTGTCACAATTCTATGGTGGACTCAAAGCCAGACACATACATATATACGCTTAACTTCTGTTGTAACTTTGAATTGAGCTCTAGCATTTCATATATATGAAATTCAATTGTCAATGATAGTTGTTATCACTATTATACATTACATTATTGATAGTTAGAGCTTCTATAAACATATGGGATCTTTGCCTTGAAAATCACCTTCCGACATTTCCGATCGGGCTAATTCGGACAAAAATAAACTCGAGTACCGGCTCATGTTCATATGCTAATCATCTTTTAACTTTATTGATTCGATAGTTTATTGAATAATTATTGAGTAAAAGAAGATTAACATTGAACATGAACCGGTCGGTACTCGGTTTATTTGTCCGAATTAACCCGATCGGAAGTGTCGGAAGGTGTTTTCAAGGCAAAAACCCGCCTTTATTGATGGACCAATGAAACTTTAGAACTTTGTGATCCTCTGTCTGCTTGAGGCATAGAATAAAAACACATGATGTGATGCTAAATCGTCAATAAAATAGTACGACGATTTAACATTACGCCTCGTTACATATGATGATTTGAAATCACACCCCATGCCCAACCTTAAACAGCACTGGTCAAATAAATATTTTGACCGAAAATTTTGAGTTACGTACACCTGATTTGTTATTTAATCATTACTTATATTTTTAATAATACATAATAGGAGTTCTTCTATAAAAGCTTTATACCTTGAACTTGGTCCTTGCTTTGTTAACCCAGGAGGAAATGATACAACCTTTAATCCTTACTCATGGAATAGCAACTCAAGTATAATTTTTTTGGATCAAGTACATATTAAAGGAATATTTTTTTGTTATTTTTAATATTATATATTTCGTGTAATTATCAACAATACATATGATTATCTGTATAGCCAACCAATACAGGATATTCTTATGGTGATGCTGCATATGATACTTTCGCTGCAGCATATGATGTATACGTATTTTTACAAATCTTTTTCCAAGAATTTCGTCAATATGCTAATTTAGAATTCCATATTGCTGGTGAATCGTAAGCATTGTTAATATTTTTTTTAACATTGTTAAAATTGTCAAATTGTCTAGGCAAAATTTCAAAATAACTAAAATCGGTTGTATTATTATTAACAGATATGCAGGACATTACATACCCTCCATAGCCTTAGATATAATCAAATATAACAATGTCGATGATAAACTTATTCATATCAATCTTAAATCTATCTTGATTGGAAATGGTCTAGTAAACCTTCTAATACAAGATAAATATTTACCAGACATGGCCTGTGATTCATCTTATGGACCAGTATTAGATAATTCTACATGTAATCAGATGAGAAGAGATTATATTCAATGTGCAAAGTTGACTAGAATATGTTATGATTCAAAAAATGTAACAGATTGCGTAACGGCTGAACAATGTTTGGATAGAAGAGGCAAACCTTATCGCCATATTGATAGAAATGGGTATGATATAAGACAACAATGTGGTGATAAATATTCGTGTTATCCAAGTTTACAAGATATTGAGAAATATTCTAATCGTGAATATGTTAAGACTGAATTGGGTGTTAATCCTTCGTTGGTCTTTCAAATTTCTAATACAAATATTCATGACAAATTCTTTAATAATGGTGATATGTAAGCAATCTAAATTAATCAAGTAGTATAAATGAATTTAATGAAATAATTTTGTTAACCTTTCATATATATATATATATATGCTCAACAATGTATATTTTTTTTAAATTTAGGATACTTCCCTTCGACATATATATTCCAACACTCTTGGAAAGCAATATTCGAGTATTAATATACGCTGGTAAGTTTATAATTAAATTCAAAAAAAATTTTTCTATTTAATTTATCATAAAATTATTTTTATAGGCGATGCTGACCTTGCTTGTAATTGGTTTGGTAAGCATTTATTACTAAATTTATATAATATATATTTAAAAAATGTCTTGAAACAATTGCAAGTAACTTTCTATAATGATGGGATCTGCTCTATTAATGAAAATTTATTATATCAAGATTATAATAAATTCGTTGTAGCGAGAAAACTTTATATAGACTAGCCTTATGTTTTATTATTTCAAAATTTTAATTGATAACCAACTTTTATCTAGGTATTGAAGCATGGACAAAAGAGCTTAAATGGAGTGGTACCAAAGGTTTTAATAATGCTAACGTTACTCGTTGGGTAACAAATAGTGGTATTTATTCTGGAGATGTTAGAACATTTAAAGGATTCACATTACTGAAAGTTTTCGAGGCAGGGCATATGGTGCCTTATGACCAGCCAATTGCAAGTCTAGATTTCTTTAATAAATGGATATTCAAGAAGGATTTGTAAATATGTATCGATATTGAAGTTAGTGTATGGATTCGGATAACTTGTTTATCTAAAGATAACTATCTGTTGAAATAAATATTATCCAACATTTGTATCAGTTCATAGTTCTATTATCCGACATCTTTTTTTTTTTTTTTTTTTAAGAGGGAGCCTGGCCTTGGTATTTATTGAAAAATTATGCATTACATTATTAAAACGAGTTACATGAATTATTATAGGGATCTACAACTAGAACTAGTTTATCCTCGGCCCAAAACTCTACTAGAGTGGGCTAATAGGCCTCTGCTAGGTTTAATGTTGCTATGTAGGATTTGGATATGTTAGTAGTGGGGAAAATGATTGCACATTTATTATATTTGGCTATGCTAATGTGGTTGGTGGGGGTGATGCTGAGTTGCGATAGTAATGGTGTTAGTTAATGTTCTGTTTTGGTGTGTAGACTTGCAGCGTTCTTTCCATATATGCTTGTAAATGTTTGTAGATATTTTGTTAAGTAGTTTGATGAAGGTGCCGTAGTAGTAAGGTGTTAGGTAATTGGATATTCCTTAATGCAATTATCAAAAACTTTATTGTCACCTGTTTATCCTTATGCTGTTGTCTGAGATTACATGTAGAAACTCACTATTCTTTAATTGTATGTAATATACATACTAGAGGGCGGAATCGTTGAATAATTATCTGATCATCGATCGAAAATTTCGAGCACCGGTCAAATTAAAATTTGACGTGTGATTTAATAAATTTTTATTGATTTAATTAAATCTTTCAATTAAATGAACACTTGTTTTCGGATTTAAGAAATATAATGAGTGCGAATAGAGCCTTATTAAGTTATTTTGCAAAATAATATTTTTTTATGATGACAGTTGATTTTTTCTTCCTAACGATAAATATAAAGATTGTAATTTATATTAAATAATTTAATAATAACGGTACAATACTGTATAATCTATAACAATAAATATAAAATCTTAGATTAAATAAAGCTAAGAAATAATATTAATAAAAAATTTGTTTAACCAATTTCAACATCAGCGGTATTTTTTTTTATGAAAATTTAATAAAATGTTATATTCAATATACAAAACTTGCAAGAACTTTACAAATATAAAAAATAAATAAATAGTATAATAAAAACATATAATAGATTGTTTTGTAAAAATAAATAATATAACTATATACGTTCATATTATTTATATTAATAATTATAATTGTGTATATTTATATAAGTAATTTGCCAAACTTCATAATCTTCTATTTCAAATTTTGGTAACTTTGGAAAATTTTTTGAATCAGGATAACAACTACGTCTCCCAAAAGATAACATGTTATTGTATATACACATATCATAACCTTCTTTGTAATCAGAATGACCAAAAATAGGACCATTTAAAGAACTATATTCAACCGCATAAGAGTCTTTTTTAACACGTGCAAAATTTGAACGACTTAAATCATCAGCACTTTCGAAAAAAAATAAAAAATTTTTATCCGATTTTGCGTAATGAGCCATAGTAGTATAATCTTTAGGTTCATAAGGTTCCCAACTTATATGATTATAACCACCAAATATCATATCTGTTCCTTTAATTTTTACTATTGTCACAGTTGAACCTTTTTTATCACATAATCTATGAAACTTTTCTGCTTCAAATCCATCCCTTTTAGCACAATAAAGAAGATTGAAATAGTAGTAGGAATTATTATCAAGATTATGAATAGCAGATCTATAATCGGTAAAGTTCGAGTAATTTTGAGGAATAGTACTTTCCCGTTTAGATTCTTCGGGTTTAACACTTGACTTATCATGAAAGTGTAATATTTTTTCCATGAATGATTGCCTTTTTCGTTTAGTCTCAGGTGTTTTTTAAACAGTACACACACTAATCCAATTTGCAATAATATTAAAGTGTTGCGATCTAACAAAAGCTATATGATTGGAAGGAGAATATCTAGGTGGTAATGTTCTAAATGTTCTGTTTGGCAAGATAGAATTAAGATGGTATTGTAAGATATCATTATATAATTCATAAGTTAAAATCTTTTCAAAGAATAATAAATTTTGTTTAAATGTTGTAGATGAGATTTGAAACCAATGAATTAAGGGAATAAATTCATGAATGGTCACTTTAAAAGTAACGTAATCAGTTTCCTTCCAATCATTAACGTTTTTACTTTGAATAATGTCAGGTGCTTGAGCAATTCCCCATTTGACTAAAGAATTCCAAATATCATCTTCACTTATGTTGCCAAGATCATCCCGTTGTAACGTAAGTTTTAATAAATATTTATCTAAATGAATAAATTTTGGATCATCAAATAATAATCTTGGATTCATACAAATATAATGAAGACAATGATCACGCAGTGATTCATATATCCTGTTATTATATTTAAAGATCATATCGAAAATGGAAATAATATCATCACGCATAATTTCTTCAAGTTTCTGATTCATAAAAGATTGAAAATTATCAACAAGATTTTGAAGTTGTAATTCATCAGCTGTTACCAAAAGTTGTAAGATTTCAACACCATTTAATTTGTCAGGAGAAATTTCTGATGTATATAAATATCTTTTAAAGAAAACAAGAGATTTCGTAAGAAACAAAAATTATTCGGTACTATTAATTATGATATAAGTAACAATCAATTATAAATTACCTTAAGATCATTTCAAATACACTTGCGGGAACATGTTGTTTTGTAAAAACAAAAATATTTCCTTGTTTCATGGTATTTTCGTTAGAAAAAGCAGCTTCAAAATAAGGGGAATGCAAACTTAATATAAGAGAATGGGCATGAAACTCTTTGGAATTATCTCCATCACCAGCATGAATAATAACATCATAACCTTTTCCGCTTTGAAGTAATCTTTCATTATCATGAGCAAGATCCTCATAAAAAGAAACTTTTCTCTTAAGAGACTTTTTAGGAATTTCTTGAGTATCTTTAGGTGGTAGATTTCTTATTGGCAAAATTTTAACAGATTCGGGTGTGATGGTATTGTCAAAATGATAATTTACGATATCTAAATATAGTTTTGAAGGTAATAGTTTTTCGATCCACGATAAATTTTGCCGAAATTCAGTTATTGGAATTTGGAACCACCGAATAAGAGGAATACAATCCATGATAATTTTTTGCAACTCAATATAATCAGACTTTTGCAATTTTGTTATATCTTTAGTTGTAACATTTAATATTCGAGCCATCCCCCATTTGATTAAATAAGTTAAAATAGTAATTTCACTTAATTTACCAAGATCATCCAGTTGCAAAACGATTAATAAAAGGGCTTCGTCCAATTGAGTAAAGTTTGGGTGATCAAATAATGCGTTCGGATTTCTACAAATGAGACGAAGACAGGAATCACGTAATGGATTATATATACTATTGTTATGTTTAAAGACTTCCTGAAGCATGCCAACAGCATCATTCTGTACAAATTCCTCTAGTTTTTGTTCCATGAATAATTGCAAATTATCTATGACCTTTTCAGGAAGAAATTTATCAGCAGCCATACGAAGATGTAAGAATTCGACACCGCTTAATTCATCTAAAAAAATTTCCGCAGTATATAAATATCTAAATATTTATTGAATAAAATTAGCAATAGTATATAATTAATGTATTCATCATGATACGTAGCGATTATAGTATTACAATTTAAGAGATTTTTATAAATACCTTAGGATGATTTCAAAAGTATTTGAAGGAATATTTTGAAAATTAAACATATAAAAATCACCAGCCTTTTCAGTATCATCATTAGAAAAGGCGGTTTCAAAATAAGGAGAACGTGCAATCAATATAGTTGAATGCGCAAAAAATTCTTTCAAGTTCTTTCCTTCATCGGCATAAATTATAACATCAGAATTATATTCCTTTAAAAGTATCTTTTTATTAATGCGAACAAGTTCTTTATAAGAATGGGAAGTCATTCTATCAAAGTGTAACAAGTTATTAATTATTGATCATTATTGACAATGTGTCATTATATACTTACGTATCGTGGCAGAGTGAGTGACTAAAAATAGTCGGTAAGCTAGCTAAAATCCGATTCTGAAACAATAGCACGTGATAATGCAACTCTATTTTTAGTGTGCTACGGTCATTTTGCCAAATTGCAAAAATAATAATGATAACCATAATATTTATTATACTGTTTAGATCTCATGATCCATCGAACGAATGATATAAAAAAATTCTGATTTCTTATTGACAAACAGAGTTGTAAATGGTAAATTACTACTGGTAACTTGATCGATAAATTACTATAAGTTACCGAATTACTTTGGATTTAAAAATTAATTTTGGTCGGCATTATGTGTCATTATCTCATTGTATTTGGTACTTGGTTACGACAAAATCCTAAAGTAGTTTGGATTCGACACATTGCACTAACTTGATTGTGAAAAGAAAAAACTTGATCTACTGCGTCATGCATAATATATCAATATAAAGGGTATTAATAGAAATCATACAAGATTTTTTTTATTTATTATATTAATGTATTAGATAGATGCGTTACGGCGACGCATTTGTAAATTAGAAAAAGTTTTACTATTGATATTGAGTCAATTTAATGTGACATCATGCATACATATCAACATGAACTAGAGTTATTATAATATTGTGAAATACTGTATGTCCTGATTAGTGTTGTTAGGCGAAACCTCGAGGTTTCGCCACAGACGAAAGGCGAAACCTAGTTTCGACTTTCGCCAAAAAACAATTAAAATGGCGAAACTGGCGAAACTGGCGAAAGGTGGCGAAACTGGTAGAAGGTGATAAATCTAGTAAAAGAGGCAAGAATAGAAAGTAATTAAAGAAAGTCAAAC